GGGTCTCCCGAGCCCCAGCCCAGGCTCTACCCGCTAGGCCACACCGTCAGAGGCTGGCCATGTGGCCCCGCACGCAGGGGCAGTCCTCTGTCTTAAGGGCGTCCGGAGGACCGGCTTCTCTCCTGCCCGGTTCCCATCTGAAGACCCAGGCACATCGGCCCCTCCACAAGCAGCTGGACCGGAGTGGTCTCCAGGCAGGGATCAGAAGTTCTTCTTTCACCAGAAAGTTGTCCTACTAGCACCAATTCATACGGACTTTGCATTCATTGACGTGCTAATGAGAGTCAGCACAACTCTCGACCAGTGCGAAAAAAACAGTCCTCAAGTCCACATGGCCACTTGACTCAAAAAAGCCAGTCTGCAATGGAGACAGAGACCTGGGATTCGACTCCGTGCGGGATTCCAGCGCTTCCTAATGCTCAGTCGTGACACTCGTGGCGAGAGGCAAGGAGGCGAAGGGTGCTGGGGTGGCCGCGGTGGTGTGGTGGCCACGGGGCCGGCCGGGATGCCCTGGGAGGTCCCTTTCGTGCAGGGGGTGCGGTTCGCTCAGGTCTTCGCCGTGCCCCTCGCCGTAGCTGGAGAGGCAGGATAATCTTCCCAGTCTCGTTCTGTTGCGTCCTGCCAAGGGGGCAGGGCTTGGCTTCGAACAGGCAGCTGATTTTTACTGAAGCTCCTGGTGGAAAGAAAAGCTCCGGGAGTGGTTTGTTCATGGGATCCATGCAGCAGCTTGCATTTTTGGACTCTCTTGTGAGGACGTGGCTGAGAGAACCGTCTTATCTTGGACCTGCATGTCATAGAATCCTAAAATAGCAGAGCTGGAAGGGGCCATGGAGGCCGTCGAGTCCACCCCCTGCTGTTGCAGGACACCAGTTCACACCATCCCACTCAGGTGGCCCTCCAGCCTCTTTCTGAATGCCCCCAGTGTGGGAGAGCCCCCCACCTCTCCAGGCAGCTGGTTCCCCTGTTGTCTTGCTCTGACAGTGAGGAAATTTTCCTGATGCCCAGCCTGAATCTGGGTTGCCGCAACTTGAGCTGATTATTCCCTGTCCTACACCCTGGCATCAGCAAGAAGAGATCTTGACCTTCCTCTTTGTGGCAGCCTTTGTGGTACTTCTAGAGGGATATTTATTGTAAGCTGAATTTATTGTAAGCTGCCTAGGAAGGCCTCGGCAGTTATAGGTGGCCTATAAATACAGTGCACACACAGATAAATCAATTCATCACTATGATGTGGTTGTATGATTGTGGTCTCCTGCTGTTTTCTGTAGCCCAGCAGGCCCATTCTGAACGCCCAGGGCTTCGCTCCCACCGACCAAGGGAGGGGCCCAAGGAGAGCCGCAGCAAAGCCCAGCTGGGTCAGGCGCAAAGTCTGCCCGGTCTGGCGTGCCATTCACGGGGTGGCCAACCCGCTGCCTACGAGACCCTCCAGCTGGGCGGGTGCAAGGCCTCCCCTGCCCTCCGGCAACTGGAGGAGGAGGGAGCTCACGGCCAGCAAGGCTAGTAGCCACGGGCCTCCTCCTCCCTCTAGATTCTGTTCAGTGTCCTTTTCAAGTCATCCAGACTGGCAGCCATCGCCACTGCCCATGGCAGCAAATTCCACGGGTTAACTCTCTGCCGTGAGAAGAAGGACTTCCTTTGACCTGCCCTAAACCTCCCATTGATCAGCTGCACGGGATCACCCCACTTGATTCTTTACCATTCCTGAACTCACGTTCATTCGCACTTGTGAAATTTCCCTTCTGAAAATACACTAGACTGTATTTTCCTGCTTCAGCCTATCATAGCAATTGTGCATTTTCGTTGGTGTTTGTTGATTTTTCCTATTTCTCTATGGCTAAATTTGCATAACATTCTGTTAAAATGGTCTGGTGGCCTGCAGATTCCATGCACCTCGTGGGGAAAAGCTGTACTGCAGAATCTGTAGGTCGGATTCATAGAAACCATGTGGGGTATTTCTCCAACACCCCCCCATCCTAATAGAGGAGCCCCCCTCCTGCTCAGAGCTGGGGCTGGCCCTGCTCGTAGGAGGAAATGGCACCGAGGGGATGCTTTGAGGGAAGGAAATGAGGATGAGTGTTGCTAGCTGGGAGAGATCTCAAAATTTGGGTTGCTGGGAGGGGCCATTTGGCTGGTTCCTTGAAGATCAGCCAGGCCTGGGTGACTTTTCCTTCTGGGGAGGGAGGACAGCCTGCCTGGGCTTCTCTTGAAAACTTGCCTGAAGACGAAACTAGGAACTGAAAGGGGGCGTCTGGATGCCCACCCATGGAACAGGCCCCGGGTCCAGGCATGACGGATCATTGGCCCGTCTGCAGCAGGAGTCCACATGCCCAGAGGTTCTCTCTGCCACCTGCGCACCGCATTCGTTAACTCCTTGCTCCTTGGAGGGAAGTGCAGAGAGTTGGTGTGAACAGACAGAGGAGGCACGGATGATGTTGGCTGCTATCCTACCAAAAAAATCCTTTGCGGTGAATCCATGAGGTCCAAAGAGGAATGCCTACAATGCCATCTCGTGGAGAGCTCTTGTACGACAAGCAGAATACCGGGCGAGTCTTTCTCAACTTTTGTACATTGCATCTGGGCAGAGGAAGAAACAGCGCTTTAAAGGGTGTGAAAGATTTCCTCCACCCAAATCTCAGAGGACTTAAAGTTGGGCTGCCTCTTCATGTCTGGTTTGCTTGATCTGCTGGCATGTCCTGACTGATCTTGGCCACCATAATCAACATGATGGTATCACAGGAATGCAACACCAGTCAGCTTTGGTGTCATGACAACATGACAATGCCAGTTGAGAGTGAGGGCAACCCTTGCCAGATCCGCCTTGCCCTCACTCTCAACAGGCTTTTCCCCTTTTGGAGCCAACCCTGAAAAATCTCCAAAACAGGGATTCTGGTTAACATTTCTGTGAAATTGTCCTGGTTCTGCTCAGTCTTAAAATTTATTGAACAGCCCTTCCCAAGTAGGTGCTCTCAGGAGCTGCAGTGTCTGGAATGAGGGCCAACACTGCATGCAAGTCACTTTTAAGATCGGCTAAATAAACTTATGGGGAACCTTTTCAAATGTCTGGGTTATTTCAGTTTTCCAGCGCACGGTTAACGTTCTTCCCTCTCCCCATCCCACAAGCTGCACAACTGCTCCTGTACTCTTGCTATGTTGCAGAGGAGAAAGCAGAGACTCCGGATACATGCGTCGTTCTCCCAATGGAGGGATGCAAACAGTGGGTGTACCAAAGGGATTGGTATTAAGACCGATGCTTTTCAGCTCGGTCCTCAATGACCTGAGACCAGGAGTCAGCTGGGAGATCCTGGGCCAGGTTTGCTGACAACTGCAAATTATTTGGGTGGAGAATACAAAAGCAGCATTCACAGAGCTCCAAAACGCAGCCTCCACCCGGGTGAACAAGCATTAACATTCCGCTGTGTCGAGACACTTTCAGAAGGAGTTACTCCAGGTTAAATAGAAAGGCAAGGCCTCCCACCCTAGTGGGGAAGCCAGTGGCCAGGGGCCCGCGGGGTCTGCTGTGCAGGTGTGTCACCTGTCCTTGGGCGATTTCAAGGCCGCCTCTCCCTTCTTCGCAGGGCCAGCCCTTCCCAGAGGCGAGTGGGCCGCTGGAGGCAGATGCTGGGACAGGAGCTGGCCCCCCCCAGGCATTCCTCCGTCCTTGGACCTGATATTCTTGGGGTTTACTATTTTGAGCAGGCCGTCCTTGCATGTGCCTTAACTTGATTCGCAGAGGGAGCCAAGAGCAAAATACAGTCCTCGCCATCGCGCTGCTGCCCCTTGGGACACCCTGTGCAGAAAGGCAACCCTTGTCCAATGACCCCCAGTGGCACCTAACACCCCCCGTTGAAGTGTCAGGCTTGCTTTTGCAAAGGCCCGCATGGATACAGCCCATCGGGAAATGACCGGAAGCAAGCTCACTCGGGATCGGTGGCCCCCACACCAGAGACAGAGACAAAACCATGAATGGAGCACGCGATTTGCTGATTCTCCGGCTTTCTCTTCTCCTCTGGTCGAACGACTGTAGCAGGGGCGGCAGGATTTGCAGAGAGAGCAAAGCCAGGTTGTTGTTGCTGTTGTTGTTGCAGTTACACACTGTCACATCACCCCCAACTTATGGAGACCCTATGCATGAAAGCCCCCCTGAATGCCCCACCTTTCACAGCCTCTCTCGGCTCCTGTAAATTCAAAGCCGTGGATTCTTTATGGATTCAGTCCATGTCATATTTGGTCTTCCCCTTCTTTTTCTGCCCTGGGCTTTCCCCAGCATGACGGTCTTCTCAAGGGAGTCTGGCCTTCTCATGGTGTTCTCAAAGTAGTTCTCAAAGTTTTGTAATTTTTGCTTTTAGGAAAAGTTCTGGTTTGTTTTGATCTAGGAGCCGCTTGTTCTTCTTTCTGTCCGTTCAGTGCATTTGCAAAGCTCCCTGCCAGGACCGTTTCTTCCTGCCAGCTTTCCTCACTGTCCAGCTTTCACACCCAGACATAATGGTCAAGAACACAACAGCGTGGCTGATCCTGGCCTTGACCTCAAGTGAAACATCCCTTACCTTCAATTTTCTTTCTAGTCCCTTCCTTCATTGCTGCCTTTCCAAGTCTCAGCCTTTTTCAACTTTCTTCAGTTGTATTCTCCATTTGAATCGATGAATGAGCCGAGGTATCCAAAACCTTTTGCAATTCTGATTTCTTCACTGGTAACAGCAAGGTTCTGGGATTCTTCTGCCCAGTCGGGGGATTGCTCCTTTACCATCTCCTTGTCCTATCTATGAAAAGATTCAAGTATATCTTCTTCAGCAAAGAACTTCCATTTCAGTCTACTGGGAACCACAATGTCTCTTTAATAAGCCGTGGTCCAGTTCAGCTCACTGCTTGGCGTCCCATGATGCTTCTTTATATACACGTT